GGAAAAGGGGACCCTGGTGGTTGAGCTGAGCCCGGGGTATGTTTGGACCCTTCGGGGCCCCCCGGGCGAGGCAATACACCGGTTCGACCCCTGCTTCTCGTAGACGGGTGTCCTGGCTTGGCCCGACCAGGATGATTCAGTCAGTCGCCTCTTCTACCCTCTTCTTCCTTCTTTCACTTTTCCTTACACCTCTTTCTCTTTTCTTCTGCACTCTCTTCCTTCTTTTTTCACCTTCTTAGGCGGCAAGGGCTAACCTTGAGTGGAAACAGGTCCTGTCCCTGCAACCACACTAGAGTATGGTGCCCGGGCAGCACTGGTAGTGTAATTGTGTCAGCCAAGCCTTTCTTGTTATGGCACATTACCTACCCCCTTGTTGGGCTCCATGGTGGGCGGTGCACCCGGGCACTGAACTTTTCTCCCATCTTTATGGGTTCTAGGCAAAAAACCACTGATCGGGCCCTGAAAAGGGTCCGCACCGAAGCCACCACTGCAAAAACACCTGACCTTCCTTCGGAATTCTCCAAGTTTTTAGTTATACATTCTGAAGGTGATAAACGACTCTCACGAATGCCCCATTCTTAGTAGCAAAGGTACTTGAAGGTGCATTTGGGAGAAACTACAAAGCAAAGAAAATGAGCTCTGGGGATTTACTTGTTGAGGTGGAAACAAATCAGCAGAGTAGTGCGCTATTAGGCTTAACGTCTGTTACTGGCTATGACGTCTCTGTCTCTTCCCACCGAACGTTAAACAGCATTCAAGGAGTTATCTCCGAGGATGACCTTCTTGATAGCTCTGAAAGTGAAATTGTTGAAGGCCTCTCTGACCAAGGTGTCACAGCTGCAAGGCGTATCACCATGCGTCGTGACGGGAACGAGCTGAAGACAAAACATGTGGTACTCACTTTCCAATCGACCGTCCTTCCTGAAGCTGTGAGGGCTGGGTACCTGCGCTGCAGGGTTCAGCCTTATGCGCCAAACCCCCGTAAATGCTTAAAGTGCGAGAAATTCGGCCATGGCTCTCAAAGCTCCCGTGGAAAGGCCACTTGTGCAAAGTGTAGCAAGACCGACCACGAAGCCGATGCATGTACCAACAACCCACACTGCGTAAACTGCTCAGAACCTCACCCAGCATACTCCAGATCATGCAAGACATGGAAAGACGAGAAAGAGGTCCTCACCTTGAAAGTCAAAGAAAACCTTTCTTATCCTGAAGCACGCCGTCGCTTTGCATTCGTGCAAAAAGGCGGCTACGCCCAAGTGGTGCAGCGGGGACCTGCACCACTGAAGGTTGCAGTGGCAACCCAGACGTCCTTTTTGGACTATGGGAAGCCACGGCAGTCCCCCACGCCCCAGCTGAAGATTCAGCTTTCGGGGTGTGCGATCTCGGCCGGGCGGTCTACCGACCCTCCCGGCCAGAGTGGGAACCCTCGCGCTCCAACGGGACAACAGCCTTTGTCCTCTCTGGCTGTTTCCCAGACCCAGGATGGGCCGCTAGCTACTGCAACTGTCCCTCCTCCGCAGTCTCCTTCCAGGGAGAAGGGTGTACACTCTCGCCCACACTCCCTGGAGAGAGCATCATCGAAGGAGCGGCATGGCTCTCGTGCCGCACCTGCAGCGCCTAAGGGACAGGAACGGGTAAACTCCGGTGACGCTCCGCCCAGCACCTCCTCTGCCCCTTTGGCTGGGTCTGGTCGCGGGCGGCGCATGGCGCCCCGTTCCCCGACCATAAAGAAACCAGCAGGAAAAGCCTCACCTCAGGAAACTGAGGCCATGGATGAATGTGAAGAAATCTCCACTCATGCGTCTGACCAAGACGACATGGAGTGGCAGACTTCTAAAAGTAAACACAGAAGCAAAAAACCTGTGATCCCTCCAACGTGAGATTGCAAATTAATTTATGCCACATGCAGCAGCTTTAGAACTTTCATTTATTCGCCCAGTGTTTCTTCTTTATTCATATTTTAATCTCCTTTTTAAACAATGACCAATTTCCATTTTATGCAGTGGAACTGCCGTGGCCTTATCAGAAATATAGATGATGTAAATTATTTTATGGACGAGTTGAGACCAATCACCCTCAGCCTGCAAGAAACACATTTAAATGACACTCATACACATATTTTACGTCGGCACCAAGTTTTTAGGGAAGATAGACTCTCCCCAAATACGTCGGGAGGAGTGGCACTGGTGGTGCAGAGTGGTGTTGCTTGCTCGGAGGTACCCCTTTCTACGCCCTTGGAGGCTGTAGCGGTACGCCTTCTTGTTGACCGCTTGATCACTGTTGTTTCTCTCTATTTGCCACCTAAATCTCCACTGCATATCAGTGAACATGAGTCACTTGTAAAACAACCACCTCAACCTTTTTTGATTTTGGGCGATTTTAATGCCCACCACCCTTTGTGGGGTAGTGCTCGCCAGGATTCACGTGGAGGTGTCGTAGAGCGGTTTTTATTATCACCTGGGTTGTGTCTTTTTAATGGGAGGGAACCTACATTTTTTAGCGCAGCACATCAATCATTTACAACTTTTGACCTTTCTATTACATCACCAATTTTACTTCCATGCTTTTCATGGACTGTTTTAAATAACCCTTTTGGGAGCGATCATTTTCCTATTGTTTTAGAAAGCACGATGCCAATTCCTTCCATTTCGACACGACTTCCAAGGTGGAAATTGGAAAAGGCTGATTGTTCTCTTTTTCGTTTGGAGGCTTTTATTGATTCATCTGTTCTCGTAAATATGAGCCCTGAAGATGCCACGCTGTACGTTACTGAAGCGATTATAAATGCCGCATCACACAGTATCCCCCAGACCTCTGGATGACTCCCCAAGAGGTTCAAGCCATGGTGGAACAAGGACTGCTCCACGACACGCAGGTTGCAAAACAGGGCATGGTGCATCTTCAGACGTTATCCCACTCAAAGGAATCTACTTGAATTCAAGAAAAGAAGAGCCAAACCTCGCTGGACACGAAGGCAAGCTAAAGGCAGTTCGTGGAGAAAGTATGTAACCTCTTTGAGTAGTTTTGTTTCTTCAAAGGAAGTGTGGGATCATCTTAGGAAGATCAGGGGAGACTATCGGTCTTTCAGGATACCTCTTTTTCCATCAGCAACATCGCTTAAAGAACAAGCGAATGTTCTTGGTAAACACTTCCAGGAAGTGTCTAACTCGGCCAATTATAGTGAATCTTTTAAGAAGTTTCGATCAGTAGCAGAAAAACAAACTATTCCTTTGTCTGGTGGTCAGGGTGCTCCTTATAACAAGCCATTTACACGGTGGGAGCTTGAACTGGCTCTCGGCGTCAAAAAAGACTCTGCGGCTGGGCCAGATAGGATTCAATACGAGATGTTAAGGAGACTATCGCCTGAATGTTTAAACAGTTCGCTCACCTTTTTTTAATTTATTGTGGGATGCTGCTTGTTTTCCTGACTGCTGGAAAATGGCGCACATAATTCCTCTACTGAAACCCAGCAAAGACCCCTCCTTACCGACGAGCTATCGCCCGATTGCATTGACAAGCTGCCTGGGCAAAACCTATGAGAGATTTATTAATCGCCTTCTTGTCCACTTTTTAGGGGCAGAGGGTGTGTTTGATAGAAATCAGTGCGGCTTCCGAGCGGGTCACTCCACGGTTGACCACCTTGTCCGCCTGGAAACTTCTATTCGGGAAGCATTTATCCACCGCCAACATAGTGTTTCTGTCTTCTTTGACCTAGAAAAGGCTTACGACATGACTTGGAGATATTGGATCCTTCGAGACTTGTACTCATATGGTGTCCGAGGTCGCATGCTTCGCTGCGTTCAAAGTTTCTTGACGGGTTGGACCTTCCAAGTGCGGTTGGGCTCCATCTTGTCGGATGTCTTTCCCCAGGAGAATGGCGTCCCTCAGGGTGGAGTATTAAGCGTTACACTCTTTGCCGTGAAAATTAATAGTCTGGCTAAGGTTATACCACCATCTGTATCCTATTCAATGTATGTGGACGATGTGCAAATATCGTCTTCCTCTTGTAACTTGTCCAGTTGTGAACGGCAACTGCAGCTCACAATCAATAAGATGAGCAGGTGGGCTGATCAAAATGGCTTTAGGTTCTCCCCCGAAAAGACAATCTGTGTTTCCTTTTCTCTCCGCCGTGGTCTGTTTCCAGATCCAGTGTTGCACTTAAATAATGTTGCTATATCTGTAAAGGATGAACACAAGTTTTTAGGAATAATATTTGATAAAAAGCTCACCTTTATACCCCACTTGAAAGAGTTGAAACATAAATGCTTACGTTCATCAAACATCCTCAAAGTCCTGTCGCATACGTCCTGGGGGTCTGACAGACGGTGCCTCTTACGACTCTATAACTCCTTGGTGCGGTCCCGCCTGGACTCTGGCGTGATTGTTTATGGGTTGGCGCGTCCGTCTGCCCTAAAGATGTTGGACCCCGTCCATCATCTGGGGCTCCGACTTGCCACGGGGGCATTCCGAACATCCCCTGTGCTGAGCTTGTACGCTGATACACATCAAATGTCCCTGGAAAGACGAAGGCAATATTTGAGTCTTTGCTATGCTTACAAAATACTCAGCTATCCTCAACATCACACTTTTGGTGCCCTCCAACATTCTAGATCCTTCCGACTCTTTGAAAGCAAGCCTAGTATTGTTCGGCCACTGAGTTTCAGAGTTCAAAGGATGACAACATCGCTCCATCTTACCTTTAGTGACGCTGCTTTGCTGAAGAGCAATGAGAGAGTTGCACCTTGGGACCTTCTACCAATCTCCTGTGACTGGTTACTGTCCAAGTACAGAAAGAGAGCTGTTTCACCATTTGTTCTTCAACAGGAGTTTTTCGATTTACAACAGAAATACAAGGACTATTTGCATTTATACACTGATGGGTCTAAAACCTCAACTTTTGCGGGATGTGCGGTTTATTCCAATGCTTTCAGGAAAGTTCGACAGCTCAACACTCTTGCAAGTATTTTTACAGCTGAATTGTATGCCATTTTAATGGCTGTGGAGTATTTATTAGAGAACAATATCACGAAAGCAATTCTGTTTGTCGATTCCCAGAGCGTTCTTCTAGCAATTTCGTCCTTAACAGACAACAAGAACCCTCTTGTGCAACGTCTTCCGGTTCAGTTAAATCGAGCTCTTCAGCAAGGACACCTGATCAAATTCTGCTGGGTTCCAAGCCACGTGGGTATTCCTGGCAATGAGAAAGCAGACTTGCTTGTTGCCTCTGCGAAAGAGTGCCCAAGAGTGCCCCTTGGCCTGCCACACCAAGACCTGAAACCGTTCATACAGAAATTGATTATGAAGTCATGGCAGCTGGATTGGGATATGGAAGAAGATAACAAGCTACACGTCATCAGCCCCTTCTGGGGGTATGGGAGAGCTCTTTTCATAAAGACCGTCACGTTGAAGTTCTTCTTTGCCGCTTAAGAATTGGGCGTACCCGTTTGACTCACCTGCACCTTCTTTGTAATGAGGATGTTAAGCTCTGCGACAACTGTGGTAAAGCTATGACTGTCCTGCACATCCTGTGGCATTGTAAATCTTTAAATCAACAGCGCCAATCATGTTTCCCAGAACTGTTCCGGGATCATCTTCCTTTTCATCCATATTTTCTACTTATTGATCAACCCTTGGTACCGTTCAATGGAGTTATAAAATTTCTGCATAAAACTGGCCTTTTACACCAGCTGTAGCTTGCAGTTATTTTGGATTGCATTTCTAAGCTCCTTATACAAACCTCTGTTTTGGCGCATTATGGCCTAAGTTGCTCTTGCGCCAATAAACCCCCAACCATCATCAACCGATCGTCTCTGAATGAAGTAGCAAAAGGCAATTTCGAACCATGTACGTTACTGTGATGTCAGTATGCTCTGGAAGAAGTCGATTTTTCACATGCAAATCCGACGCTATTACTTAAACTAATAAAAACGGAGTTAAAAAAAAACAAAAAAACATCCGTTTGACGGTTGTGCACCTCCTTCCATTTTTCGAAGTCTTTCTTTTTATGTTTTGCTTGAGGCGACACTACACCGCCGTGGTTTTTCTTCCTCCTGCGTTCATGTTTTTGTTTCCTTTTTTTCTTTCTTATGTTTACTTGACGTTCGAACCATCGCGTTTTTTTTAACATGATTGTAAACCTGAGACTGGGGCAGAAAATTGAACCCAACAAAAGGTAGAAAAAGAGGAGACGTTGCCTCCTCTTTTTCTACCTTCTGTTGTGTTCTCTTTTCTGCCCCATTCTCAGGTTTACAATCATCTTCAACTTACACCAGCTCGCCTGCACTCTATTTTTTTGCGTTTTTTTGCTTTGCCTTGTTTGGCTTAGTTTTTACTTTCTTTCATTCGCTTCGTCGCTTACTCGCTTACTACCACCGGTTCGTCTACTACGCTTTGTCCGGACATATGGAGGGCCGTCTGCAACTTTGTTGTTATTGTTTTTTTTTCTTATTTTTCCATTTTCGTGTATGATAACCTCCTATGTTCGCCATCTTTTGAGTTTCTGTTTCGAAATCTTCAAACGGATTTTTTGATACTTAATAAGTATTTTAAAAAGTGTAAGCTCGTTATACATTTCTATTCACTTCTTTGTGCGACCCGATAGACCCTCATCTCAGGACATTGGATATCAAAGTTTTCACTGCAGTTACATATATATTTTATGAAAAAAAGATCAAATCGAAACCAAGGCACTCATGCAGTATGGTGGGATGTCGCTCCTTTTCAAAAGATGATAACCGGAAGTGCAATCACTAGCACATTGCAAATGTCTACGCAAAAAAAAAAAAAGGTTTTTGTGGTTAGAACGCTGGAAATTACGTGAAATGCTCCGCTCGTCATGGTCCCATGCTTCCCACAGCCACAAGTAAACTTTTCCATGTGCCATCCTAAGAGATAAAATTTTGTTCCATTTGCTTTGCAGCACTGGAAGCTTTTTTGTGCTTTTTCCAAAGAAGTTAAGATGTACAGTACAGGTCTTTATGTCTTCTGTATGTTGTCAGTAGCTGCCGTAAGAAACCTACTTTTTAAGGCCATCAAAGTGACAAAAATATGTTGAATAAAAAATGTAACACCAATCACCGGAGGAAAGCGGATGTCATTTTCATAACGCTGGACGCTGTGGTGGCAAGATAAATGTATTGCCAGTGTGAGAAGTGTACATGAATGACTGCATTAAATCTGATAGTACAGCCTTGATTTAGGTACTGAACTGACCAACCAAAAGCTTTCAGAACAAAGTTTTAGAATGCTCGCAGAGGTAAGATTGTAGCAAAAAAATTCAGACAGGTGGGTCGCGTAGTCGTTGCCCAGTCTCGAACCTGAAAATGTTTGCTGTTTTACAAATCCGAGAGATATGGTGCATTTACAACTTGTTGATTAGGTACGTTGAGGCGGGTGCGTTGGACTACCTGAATTGGAGCCTGACCAGTTCGGCTGCTGCCGGGAGACGGGCAGAAAACTTAAAAGACTTAGGACGGTGGGTACCTGTCACTCGACACTTGATCTTGAATGGCTCTGCAGCACGCTCCAGAGAAATTTCAGGGAGCGGTATAAAACCAGTATTGTTGCATTTGCATCCATCCTTTCACAATATTGAAGAGACTCAAATATGACAGTGATTGAATGGTTGCATAAGCTGGCGGTAGCTTGAGGGGATTTTTATCACAAGATACGGGTGACTCGATGAAAAATTTAAGGCCAAGTAGATCGGCTTAATTGAAATACCGTTAAGACCAGAGGCTGGATTTACAAACAACCTTACAATGAAAAAAGTTTCTACGACGAAACCTGAGAACAAATCCGTATTCACCAAACAAAATTGTCTTAAAATTTGTGTGATGTGCGATGAAGTCGTACCACAGCCTCCAAGGTGTTTTACAAACTTTTTAGTCAACATGGCTGCACGTCAGTTGGATACCTTGCCGTGATCCCGCGACAACCGAAGAGTTTAAGGCACAAGCGAGAGCCATTTGTTTTGCATGTTATCGTGCGTTCCGGTTTCAAGCAGCAAGAGAAGAGAAAGAAGGACGCAAAAATACGCTCCCAGGACGCAGCCCAGGATTCGGCCTGGCGACCGAATTTGTCTTACAAGGCCTAGAAGGGTGAGACGGCTAGACGCGCCATAGTGAATCAGCGGAAGGTGGCTGCCCGCACGACTCTTGAGCGGATCTGGTGGACCGTTCTCGTATGGATAGCGTGACATTGATTTAGTGATTATAAGTGTCCCCTCCATCGTTCGGTTGTGGTTTTCTAAGAAGGTGGACTGCAGTGGCGTCTCGGGAAATGTGTGTTGGTAGTGGACGCATTCGCAAAGTCGTATTAGGGTCCCGCACATTGGATGCGTCGTTTCGTTTCACATAGAGCTCAAATAAATGCCGTACATATTTCTTTTGCAGCATGTGGTATGCAGAAACGGGCAGGCAGGTCGAGCACTCATCCTGTGTGTTACGACTCCACAATCCATGCTATGTCTGGTATGCATATTTGTGAGCATTTTGCGTGCTTCCCTTTTTCAATATCGCCTACGTCCTTTTAGGACCACGAGATCTTGAAAAACCATGTGAAAATTTGTTTCCTTGCGCACGACTAAGCAAGCAAATGCGGCCCGTCTCCTTTTGTATTAATGTCGTTTGTCGGCGCCAGTGACAAATCTTTCCTTGGCCTCGATAAAACTAAACATTTGAGACCGTTTACCCTTCGGTAGGTATCGGCATCATACTGCATGAGCACAGTAAACAAACAAGCATAATGATACGTGCATGCCGCGACTGGCGCTGCCTCTCTGTTTTTCTCGAAATGCGCGTCTGCTCCAGCATGGTAAGCATTCTGATTGGCTGTTTGGGACGCTGAAGATGCCATCACCAAAGCAGCAGTCTGCTCTTGCGGTGTTCAGAGACTGGCGAGATGCCGAAAGTGGTCGTTTTTCTGAACAAAAGTGGCGCCTTCCTCCTCTCCCCTAAGAATGCGTCTGTGAATACCGATTTCGCCTCCTCTCAAAATGCTCGTAACTTACAAACCTCTTAGCTAAAATGTTCTAAGATAAGACGTGCTTTGTAAACCTGGCCTCAGGTAGCAGAATTTTGTAGACCTATCAGTATTCTTCTCCTTAGTTATTAAAACTTGCACGCAGCGACATTGAGCATTGCCAGTTATCTGTTATCCATATTCATTCTGTCCACCTTGACTACTTTGATCAATTCCTACCGTCAGGTGGACCGTTGTCGTTCATGGCAATCCTGCCCTCAAGGTATTAAAAAATTCGGCAGCATGACGCTTGCTTCTAGCAGCCTCCAGATTCCGGAGGCTGCTCCTTGCCAGGGCAGCTGTGAGGCTGTCCTGGATTAACTTTCCTGTAGCAGCAGTGAACTCCTGCTGCAGCTAAAGGACCAAAGGGAACCAAAAACAGTCAACACAATGGCACTCTTCCTCTCTGGCACCCTAGTTTCAAATCTGAATAATACTCACGATGGTACCAAGCTGATACGCTGGGTACATAGAGAGGAGAGTGGCGACAGCCGGGTGCTCCGTCGTCACTCAGAGGCGCCGTGAGGCGAACGTTCTTGCCATGGCGTGGGCCACATAAACCACGTTGGGCCTCGTCTTGCAGAGTTCTTTCTGAATTTCGAAGACATGGCCGTTTACGCTTTCTCTGTCCTCTCCATCAGCTGGGAGCACCGCATTCTGCAATAAAATCGATGGAAGTACAAAATTTATGCCAAATTTGATTGATAATATAATTTAAAATAATATTTCTCAAACAATCCTTCATACCGTGCCAGGCCTGATCACGCGTTCCTGGCAAGGATTCTTCGGCACCCTCTGCTGCTTCGGTCGCGCTGGCGCCTCTTCCTCGCCCTCTTCCGCAGCTCACTCCTGATCCCGGAGCTTCTTGCGCTCTCGTTTCGCTTTGAAACGTAAGGCAACGTGCCAACAGTCGTGTGTGCACAAGCAAAAAAAGAATGTCAAACAGCTGCAGAAATAATAGTGCTGAAAAATCAGTAATCAAATTAACCTAAAATATACAGCACACATTATTTACGCTGAAACTTGCAACCGAAACTGTATAACAGGCATCCTTTCGTCTGCCATTTTCGCCGACTACCGCGCCCTCCATTCGCGACTCCAACTATAGGTGGCGGCACCGATTTCTAAAATGGTGGACATACGGAGGGTCGGAGATGCTATGTGGGTGCACTTGCCGAGATTTGCTGGTATTCTGGGTTTATTAGGCGTTACAAAGTTATACCGCTTCTAGAAGGTAGAACTAGACCAAGCTGCGGCTCGCGGTTCCACCCCCCCTACCCCCCCTCCACAAACACACACACCCCGCCCTCCTTTCCGATCAGACGAGCACTTCCCCAAAAGGAGAAATGGAACGTGTTTTAAATCGAAAGACAGATTGCAGTTTGGTAGTCTCGTGCTACTGGTACCTTACGTACAGATGGACTGCTTTTGACTTGAATAGATTTATCTTTTATTGTGCTGGACAAGATTCCCCCCCTTCCCCATGCGGCTCTTGGAAGTTTCGTGGTTTTGTTTGCGGCTCTTAGGCTGGGTCAGCCTGGCCACCCCTGGGCTAGAAGCTCAAATGACGAAAGGCGGAACTTTCGTCATTTGAGCCTCTAACCAATAAGACGCAATATCGTCACTTCTGTCACTTCCGCTTCTTTTTAGGAGAAACGAAAGATTTGTCGAACATAGCCCCCAAGGTTACCGAGTTGAAAGGCAACTCACAAGAGGGTGAAGACAGGACAAGACGTTGAGACAAGTAGAGATATGTGTCATCCCACCATTATCTTCCTTGTTACTTTCAACTTATTTTTGTTTAGTTGAACGCCTGTGGGAAGGAGATGTTTTTGTTCTTTCTCTTTCCTTCTCTTGTAATTGCGTGAGCCTTCTTCTTTTCTGTCAATTGTTGTTGAAATTTGTATATAATGTTACTTGTATAGATATCTGCATAATTTGGGGACAACGTGCATTCTCCAGTTTCTGTCCTCCTTCGGGTTTTGTTCCTTATGAACAGTTTTCAGTTGCAGTCTTTTGAATGGTAGCTGGTTATGGGATGGTTCGCCGCACCCGATGACGGTCACCATCTAGCTCCTTCTACACTATTTAAGACGATCAAAGTTCGAGTTTGGTCTTATCTTGTTTGCTGGTGATGGAGTTTCTGAACTTTGTGGGGTCCCGTCGGCATCCCTTCTGGTCGACAACCGGACGCCGGCGCCTGGAGACTCGTTTTCGGTCCCCTCCGTGGCAAGGACGGCGCCTTTGAGGTTTGGTTCCCGAGCGCCTCCTCTCTCGGGACCCATCTTGAAGACATTGGCGGTGTCGGCGGTGGACATCATAGGACCCCCCTCCCGGACCGCGTCGGCGCCCGGGGCCCTGCTCGTGCCGCGGCAGAGCCAGACGGGGAGCTCGAGGGAGAGACCGCCCACGATGGGAGACAAGCGGCCCCTGCCGGTCTGGTGCGTGGCGACGGCGGGAACGGGGGAAGCTCGGACGACGGCAAATAGAAAAGGGACCCATCTGGAAGACGTTGGCGGCGTTGGCGGTGGACATCCAGGACCCCCCCTCCCGGACAGCGTCGGCGCCCGAGGCCCTGCACGTGCTACGGCAGAGCCAGACGGGGAGCTCCAGCGAGAGACCGCCCAAGATGGGAAAGAAGAGGCTCCGGCCGGTCTGGTACGCGGTGACGGCGGGAACGGCGGGGAGGGCTCGGACGACGGGAAATAGGGTGGGGACTCTTGCGCGGGAAACGGGCCACGACGGACGTGCGCGGGGGTGGCGACCGCGACGTCGGCTCGGGCGACTGCCCGGTGACATGGTCCGGATTTAGACTCCGGATTCGACCCTCGACGGCAACGTCCACAGGATGTGGTGTAGACTAGCACCGCACGGACGATCGGCATGCAGCATACAGTGGCAGCGCACCCCTCCAGGCTTCCTCGATCACCTGTCCCGACCCCGAAACCCCCCACCAGAATGTGAGTGGAATAAACCCCTTCTGCCGAGAGCTATGCGTTTGCTGTGTCACGTTCATCCGGAGGCAGGGGCCGGGGGAATCGGACGAGAACCCTACATAATTGGCGCCCAACGTGGGGCCTGATTTACATTCCGGCTAGAGTTCCGATTCCTGGCCTGTTTCCGGTTGGATGGGGGCATTGCTTCCGCACTCCTTTTGGGGGCGATCCTCGTTGTAGCAACGCCGCACGAGATCCGACATGATCGTTTGCTTGATGAGGAAGCGCGGACCTAGACGTTGTCTTTTCTGACAATCCTTTGTCCCAATCAACCAGGAGTTTATCCCCTGTGGCGAGGAGAGCCTTAATCTACTGTTTAGCTGTGCCGTCGGATGCTGGCAGGTCTATCCTTCAGCTTCTTGACGCCGCGCAAGTGTTCAATGTGCGTGGATATTCCCGCCTTCTTTGAGGCCTGCAGTGTCGGGTGTTCTGTCGCCCCAACTACGCCTCCGGCCGTCTACGTCCGATCGGTGAGATGTCAGCTCATTTATTAGGCGATTAGACGCGCGCGGCCGCCTTTGTTCGGGTGTCGTTGCAGTGCTTTGGATTGACTGTTTTCGACTGCTCGCGTCAGAGAGGGTTCGCTGTGGGGGTATCTCAATACTACTTGCATTGCGGACGGCGGTTGCACGGACTGCATCGAGAAATTATTCCCGAACTGCATTTTGTCCGAGGGGAGCCTAGCGCTCGAGTTTTACTGCACGCTCCCTCTCAGCTGGCCTTGTTTTGTGCTGTCGGCGCGGTTTTGAGTACCGTGCGTCCACAGCGTTTGGGTACAATATGTGCTCTTGTGGCTCCGACCGCACTGATGCAGTACCTTGCGGCCAGAGGTGATACCTTGGGACTAATCCCCCCAAGTGTTGTCAGATACGCGATGCCTGGTGCGAATGCATCGGAATTCCGAGAGCCACCGAGTTTCCGTGCCCACCTTGTCAGTGGCTGTGTGTAATGCTCCGTGGGGTCCAGGTTGACGCGATTGTCACGTTCCGTTCGTCCCTGGCTGTAGAGTCGTGAGGGTGATCCCGCTTAATTGCGTGCAGTTTTTGCCGGACCCTCACACCGCCTTATCGGAGTTTGCGCTTCAGGGCGGAGATTACTCTCGAGTTGTTGTACCCATGCCCGGAGAAGGGGCGCGGAGGTGCGTGCCCTGCGTTGCCGCTGGGCATGGTACCGGTTCTCCGCCGTGTTTGGTACGCGTTGGGACGCGAGGGCGTGCGGAGGGATGACGGGTTAGACTTAAAGGGGGAAAGACGGTTAGGTGGGGAAGGAGACGTTCTCGTGTAGTGAAGAGCCTCACGGAGGAGGTGGCGGTCTTGCGATAATGAGACGAGTTGTTGATAGTTTTATCCTGTACAGCTGCGCGGGAGGCCCGGAAAAACGTACGGTTCACGTCGGCGGGTGCCCGGGAAGCCTAGAAATTATGGCAGCGGCATGGCCGTCGGCGGCTTATAACTGTTGTGCGTTAGGTCAGCCCGTCGCTGTACAAACTGCAGCTTTTGCACGAACGACCAGCGGGTGTTGGAAGCCAGCGGTAAATGCGGTAAACACTTCGACGCTGCGGAAACGGTTTATGCGAAGCAAACATAGTTTATTAACTCGTCCATTTCCAAGATCGGCCGGTTAGATTATATGGCACTTCGGTGTTGCACCTGTAGCGCGGAAGAGAAGATGCGCGTGTGGGGTGCTTACATTGTTCGAACCCGGTCAGTCTTTCCAGTCGCAAGAAGACTTTTGGGTTATGCGGTGTTTCGACTTGGTCTGGGGCGGGCTTTGTGCCTACCCTGCTGCGTTCATCCAAGGACTCGTTGCTTGGATTGAAAATAGAAGAGTTGCGAGACGCGTAAATGAGGCACCTCCATTGCTCGATCCTGGCCGACCTTGACAATCGCAAGAAGACTTTTCAGTCATGCGGTGTTGTGGCTTGGCTGGGGGAGAACTTGAATGTGCATCAATGCGTTGATCAAAACTCTCGAGCTTGTGCAGGGCCAGGACTCCATAGTGGTCACTCCACTACACTTCGGTGTGTACCCCCGTTGCACGCTCATCGCTCTTGTTTGGAGATTATCCCCGAACAGTGACGCGGCAACCTCTGGTACACGGCCAGACGTTGCGGACAGAGCCTTGTAAGAAGGACGTCCAATAGACTTGCTGGACGCACCATCCGGCATATCAAAATGTTGTCCCCTTGTGTTGGCCTCAATGGCCGGTACCGCTGGGCACGGGCCTCTCGGGGTGGTGGCTATCCAACCCGATGACGGCATGCCGCGTAGCGTAGTAGTAGCGTGCTTGTGGCTTAGAAGTCGCGAACGATGTCTACGTGAATATGCGTAATGTTAATTGGTACTGTCAGCGGCAGGTTTTGTTCGTATGGTTATTGTGTATCGCACCTCGCGAATGGTGCAGGATTTGTAGCTGCTTGTGACGTGCAGGCGGTTATCTTTTGTGCTGATATTTTGTGTTTTCATCACAAGTGATTTAGCTGTGTGGAAGGTGAATTCTGTTGTCGGAGAAGCGATTCTCTAGCGCTCCCGTGGATTATGTAACATTTTAGTAGAGAACGATTGGGTTGTCTTGTATAAGAACAATGGTTGTTTAATGACTATACATATCGACAATAGTTTGGTGTTGTTGCATGCTTCCTGAGTTGATGATAGGTTTGATATTTGGGTACATCTTTTGAACATGTAGCGTGACGACCTTGATGAGTGTATGCTTAATAGCTTTAGAACGAAGAGCTTCGTTTGTATCTTGTGGCATGCACACTGAGCTGAAGATTTGGTTTTGTCACGCTGTACGATATTCAGGGCCGCGATTTGTTAGCGTATGTTTTTCTGTCTCGAACACTGGGGTGGAAGGGACTTTCAATTTTGGTGTATTGTGTGCGACTTAGTGCCGGTGCGTGCTGTGAGCGGTGGTGCTCTGTGTCCGCTTCTGGACTGTACACCGCCTGGTCGGGCTTCCCTGTGAATGAACTGTCCCGGCGGGCTTGCCTCGTTTGGCACCCTCGTCGCGATCATCAAGGGTGATCGCCATTATCGGCGACACTCAGCTGAGCTCCCGTGCGGTATTTGGGTCATCTGCGCCACCTCCACTTCTGACCTTCATGACCCCCGGGCCTTCGTTTGAGGGGGGGATGGTGTGGGGTCCCGTCGGCATCCCTTCTGGTCGACAACCGGACGCCGGCGCCTGGAGACTCGTTTTCGGTCCCCTCCGTGGCAAGGACGGCGCCTTTGAGGTTTGGTTCCCGAGCGCC